TTAATATAAATAAAATTGAACTCGAAGAGATTCTTTTTTTTTTTTTTTTAATCCATTTTCGATCTTTAAAATCTAGCCCACTGGAAATTTCTATGAACTTGAATTATAAACAATCTTTATTCCATTTATTGATTGAAAGTGAGATGATACGTACACATGGAATTTTTGCTAAGCTGGGAAAAGCTATTATGTTGAATGGTGGCAGAAGATGAGGAAAGAGAAATTAAAAGTTTTATCTTTGAATTTTGTGTTATGATTAAAATGAAATGGACGTAGCACCCATAAGCATGTGATGTGGACTCTCAAAGCACCAGTATGTTTAGATTCAAGTTAATGTTTCAAATCAGTACTAGCTGTGGAGCGAATTGATCAGCCATTTTTTAACAGTTTTATAATAATGCATTCAGCAGGGTTTTATTATTGTTAATTGACGAGATTGTCCAAATCATAATTACCAACTTTGAAGAAGCCAAATGGGCTTGGACAATTAATGCAAGCAAGACATTTTCCCAATAAAAATTTGAGTAACAAATGACAATGACGAATCCTTCCATACGAATCCCCTCTTTCCTCTTTCAATGTTAGGGAAGGATTGAGGTGAGGGTGGGTGGGTTTTTTAATTGATATTGAATTAACATGCTTGAATAACAGCTCAATTTAGAACATATGGTTTGAGATTCAAACCTTGAATTAATAATGCAGGAGGAATTTGGATTTTCTAGCTTTTAAGGGGTATAAAAAACACAGTTCTTTAATTGGATTTGAGTTACTGAACAAAGAATTTTAGTAACTGAGTTGTTTCATGGAAGTGTAATAAATAGAAGACCCTTTCTCATTCTTTCTTTCTTTGTTGGAACAATCAAGTAAAAGTATAAATGATATATTAGTATTTATAAATTATTCAAATTCGATTCGAATAAAATTCAAATTCGGTTTGATTATTATTGAATCGAGCTCGAATTTAAATAGTTCGACTCATCAATCGAGTCAAATTGAGTATTTTTATATCCAACTCGAATAATTTTTTAACGTAATCGAACTTTTATATTTAAATATATTTTTATTAGTTTAATTAATAAAATATTTCGAATTCAATTTAAATTTGAGCATAAATAATCGAATTTTTATCGAGTATATAAATTAAACTTATTTTTATATATTAATCGAATTTAATCAAACATACTCGAATAGTTCAATTTTGATCACGAATCGAATTCGAATTAAAAAAATAAAATTCAATCGAATTTCAATTAAATATCAAACTATGAATTAAAAGTTAAATTTGAACTTTAAATTTTTATTATATCAATTTGATTCAACTCGATTATACTAAGAGACATTAGGACAAAGTTGCAGGTATCAGCCAGGGCCACTGGATAAGCGGGGCTGACTAATCTCCCTGGATTAGATTATGAGATGTCAATCTCGAGAAAAGCTAATCAAATTGAAATTTCTGATGTAACATTGATTGTGCTGTCAGTTTAATGTTTGATTGAACTGGGGTTTACATATAATAAATCACTATTATACAAAAAAAAATGGTTCATTATTTTACCAATTAAATAATTCACTGAAACCACTGTCAGCATACACGACAAGTAGCTGTCTGCAAATTCTTTTTCTTTTAATTACGATTATTAATGTATGATAATAGTTTCATTCACTTCTATTGGATTAAAGCAATGAAAGGACAGAAATTAAACATCAAGATTTCTCCAGTAATTCTGTCTCTAAATCCTTATGAATCATCACATGACTGTATGGAGAATATTGGTATCAGCAATGAAGAACTCAACAGGGAAATAATCTCAGTTCCTGGATTGAAATTTTTGACATGTATAAGAGACAGCTACAATCATCTGTCACCAATCAAACTATTGGAAAAAAGAAAATGTCATTGTTGATTTCTGTAGTCTTCTGTGCAAGCAATGCTTTCAGAAACAAAATGCAGACAGTTTTCACTCAGGTGAACGCTGAACGCCGCCCGTGATCGTACGAGGGTGATCGGGAGACGATTTTCCATGCCTTATGGGGGCCATGGTGGAAACTTGAAAAAGGTTCTTCTTCAACATCATTCGATGGATATGTCACCAAACATTACTTTTTGTTTTTCATTATAAATCATAGACATTAGGACCTACCAAAGTACGTAGCAGCATCCCGTTTCTATATTCATATTTTCATTCCCTCCATAGATAAGCCATGGACGAATTAGGTTCTGTTAAAATCAGGCCAAATGTTTTGACCAATTCTAATTGTCTAGTAATTAGTTGGCAAGTCGTAATTTAGCAATTTTTGGAATCAAATAAGTGAAACCAACAATGATAATAGATTTCTGTTATAGATTCTCGAGTTGGCGATTAAATGATGTTATGAACTATGATAATTGAACATACTTGTTCATGAATTATTTGATATGGTAAAAAGGGTAGGATTGGAGTAAAAAGCTTGAAGAACTTTTACAAAATGTGTGAATTTGAAAGCGTGGGTAGGTCCCTGTTGAGCCCTTAAAAGAGAAATATAAGTAGGTCGATTGAGAGACAAAAGGAATCGTTAATACGCAATGAAAAATGTGACTCTCCACCAGAATCCACTCTGGTTTCCACCCCTCAAAATTTTCCATTGGTCTGGTCCTGGATTAGTACTAGGGCTTTGATAAGTTACAGAACGGTAGAGAGGGACAGATTGGTGGTCCGGAATCCATAAGGACGATACCCCACGAAGACATTGGCCTATTTCACTGTGGGCATTTTTTAATTTTTTTTGGTGATAATGAAATGGCATCAATTGTCATGCCTCCAAAATCATTGTACGTCTTTCACTAAAGCTGTCATCTTCCTTTCGTTTAACAGCTTTTTTCTTCCCTCTTAATTTTCCTTCATCCCATGTTCATAATTTGCATCATCAGGCAATTGAAAACGGTTTTTTTAATTAAGCAGCATCACTAACTCCAATGAGACAACTATCATTGCACTCAGTGGCCCTCGAGATCAGAATTTTTAACATTGGGTGAGAATATAATAGAATGATTGATGGTTGAAATTAAACAATAATTCAAGTAATGCACATTGATCCTTAGATATAGGAATTAGAGTCAATCTGAATGGCTATAGACACCATAATCTGGATGTGTTTATGGTTGAAGAAAACCAAGATTAAGGCCAAAGCCATCAAAGGCAGTGGTCCTACTATCTATAGAAGCTGGAGATCAGTTCATCCATGGGTTTCTGGAGTATAACTTTTTAAGTGGGAGAATCAGGCCAAAAAAGAAAATGGACAAGCAATGGACTTTGTGCGGTAGAGTCCTAAATATCATAAAAGGGCAAAAGCAGATGCATGCTAAAAGGTATCTCTTTATTAAGTGGCATGAATCAAAAGCCACTTTGGCTTGGGGCTCCAAGTCTGTTACGTATGATTACTTTTGCACAGCCCCAGTTTTGGCCTTCAGTAATATCATCATTTGAAGAGACATTCTATTATTGAATCCTGGAGCTTAATCATAGTGCTTTGATGTAAACGTAATTCAATTAGCAATCAGAATAAAGGAATGAGCTGGTATGATTTTTTTTTATTCAAGGTGTCCCTCTAGTAGAACAATCACTTGTGCCCCATCCTTGGCAGGTTGGCCTACCTTCCTTAGATATAGGGCTTGTCTTCTGATCGAAAGAAAGGAAATTTATTGCTATAAAATCCAAGCTATACGCGCATTTGTTTAAACAAACATAGATGAATGGCTTTTACATTAGAATGCATTGTTTTTTATCTCAAGGGAAGGTAAGCCTTATCCTCTTTGATCGTAAATGTGGTCCAAGGAAAAAGGAAACGGAAAATTTAGAGCCAAAAGTTTAACCACAGAAGAAACTGATGAGGTGAACCCACCACCATTTTGATAAAGATGATCGGTTAACATCTTCCGTTACCATTAACTTTTTCCCATTTCTTCAAGGGATTACCTTGGACAATTTTGCTTGTTCTAGTTGATCTAGTTTTACACCATGTGAGTCTCTAGAAACCAAGGAAAAAGACTCTTCGAGAGTAACCGGACCCCATATCTAGTTTGACTTACTTTAGCTTCATTTCTAGATATTGCTCTTCCCTTCACCCTTACATAACATCCAGATTCATTTTCCACTCTTGACATTATAATTCACAAGAAACAAGTCATTTTTTCCCCTTGAATCAGCCTTGTTTTACACATTATAGATGTCCAAGGAGAAAAGTGATCTAATCTTTCTATATATTGAAATTTAAAAGAGATAAACACGTTTTAGGATAGTTTGTTTTGGAATTGATTGTTATTTCCATTAAGAAAACAAACAACAACAATGTTCAAGTTCTAATTGTAGCATAAAATGCTACATTATCCAGAGGAAACATTGAAAGTTGAAAAGCTGAAGTATCTTTGTTAAGTCAAGAAGAGCAAAAACTTTTTAATTTTGGTTGTTTGGGAAAATTCCAGCTAATGTAGTCTCCCTTTCAGTGGCAGATGATGTTGAAATGTGTGTACCTTTAAATCTCTAAGAGTTACGACAAAGACTTGAGAATGGGTAAGGCAGTCCATCAACAGTCATAGTCCCTAGCTAACTCCCTATTGCTTTCGAATGTACACTAAATATAGTTAGATTAAACATCAAGGCAATTACAGCAGGGTGGATGGCTCTAAACCACAGAGCCCATGAATTTGAGAGTCAAATTTTGTGTTTCTTCTCTGGGCCTGTGTTCAATGTTATCATTCAAAGTGACTAAAATTCAGGAATAAAGAATAAAGTAACTTGATCGGTCAGTTAATGATAGTTGAAGCATGCCTGTAAGCCAACCAACTTCAAGGTCATTCTAGATTCTTGGGATCTATCTAAACTCCTGAGAAAACCATACACTTCAGATAATAGATTGTAGAGTTCATAAAAAAAAGCACAACTTAACTTATGGAACAAACAGAAGCTCATGTGAGCTCAAAGTAGCCAGAAGATTTTCTGCATTGCTATGATAATCAAAAATTGAAGAAATCAGACGCAAAATGACCAATGCGGTGAGCGTGGATCGAACACGCGACCTTCAGATCTTCAGTCTGACGCTCTCCCAACTGAGCTATCCCCGCACTACTTGTGCCCTTACTGAAACATTACTAATAAATTTATTACCATATGGTATGTTAAAAGCTCATTTACATTTTACTGTCATAATTCCTATAGGCCAGAGTGGTTGCTAGTTTCAAATTCTCAAGGAAACGGTGAATATTTCCTTATCCATGGCATTCCTGCAACATCCCTGTCGATATTCCGTTTTGGGGGATCGCTCTGGTAATCTCTTGTAGTTTGTCTCAGTAGTACATAACTAACCCCTTTTTCATTTTATCTCGATTGTTAGTCTTGGCGGTTTCCTGATAATTATTTCTGAAAACAGTAGAGAAACAAATCGGGAAAGATAAACCATTAACAGTGTTGCCAATCATTAAGGAGCTAATTGAAAGAGGAGTTCGCTTTTGGATCTACAGGTTAGTCATTTGAGAAAAAGCTCAATCTCAATCAATCTTTCACACAAGGGGAGGTAATAATTTGGACAGAATTTCACTAATCCAGTTATTGCTGTTAGACAATGAGTCTATGGTCGATAAAAGCTCATAAACTTGTTTGTCAAGATTGTAGTTGCCGCAAACTTAAACGTGGAAGGCTCAAATGAAATCCAAGCAGGGCAGAAGTTGTTTATGAACTTTTATTCACCAAGCACACTACCACACACGTCTGCCAATTCATCTATTCCAATCACCAAGTTTCCCCCCTAACTCACATAATAAAATTAAACAAATAATGAATCCAATCCCTAAAAAAAAAAAAAAAAACTACTTAAGGGTCAAAATTCAGTTCCACTCCACATTTGGAGGGATTTATGTAAGAATTCTACACAAACCAAGAGAGCTACGGAGTAACAACCAACAAGGCAGTTTGCTTTTGCCCACCTCTAGTGTGAGTGTCTACTTACTAGAGCTACAACTTCTTGCACTTGTTGTCTTTAATTTCAGCTTACTTGCTGCTGATGACTGCCGTAGATTGGATATGCACCATATGCGGCAGCTGCAGCAGCATACATGCCCGGGTCATGAGGTGATGGCAAAGCATATCCATAACCATCATACACCTGCCCTCCATAGTAAGCTCCACCCCACTGGTTACCATAATCACCTCTAAACTGCATTGTCCAAAAATAATAGATTAGATTTAAGTAATTTATTAAAGGATAGGAAGATTATGCAAAGGTTTGTTTCAGAAAATATCATCTGATAACCCCTAAGGAATGTCGTAAGCTTTACAAATATAAAATTTCACACTACTTTTGAGTATCTCTCATCCATTTCTTTCAAAGCAGTAGAAACAGCTTTTGTAATGCTGCAAGAAACAATTAAAGGTGGAGTAAAGGGGACAATGGGTAGACAAAGATACCTGCTTATTTGCTGGATTGCGACCCCAAGAAAGTCGCACTGTTTGCTTGCCAATTACTGTCCCATTCAACTTCTGCAATGCCTCCTCAGCATTGTTCCTGTTGAGACTCAAGAAGTTACATCAAGGTAGAAACTCACTAATGACTAAATTACACCTTTAAAATAGCAGTCTATTATAGGCAAATGGAGAAATAGAGCCAAAAATCTTACCTGTTGGCAAATTGTACAAAACCACATCCTTTTCCAACAGGTATTTTAACAGAGACTATTTCACCATACTGAGAGAAAGGTTGCCTGAGATCCTCCTCGGTGACATTTGGGTCAAGGCCTCCAACAAATATCTAAAATAAAATTTGATTAGCCAAGGGGCACAAATGGTGGTACTCCTAAGAGTTAAAGCCGAAACAAGAGCTGAAAAACTCACAGTTGTGTTTGAAGAATCTCCATCGGATTGGGTTGATGCACCATTTGATGCATAGCCACCTTCCAAGAACAAAAGAAAGCAAAATTGTCCAATTAAATCCTAAAAGCTTTAAACCATAACAAGTAATTTTTCCTGGAGAGGTTAAAAATAGATGGCGCAAGAATGAACAGCAACCAAAGGTTAATTCTGTGTAAAGATGCAGATATAAAACCAGGTAAATAAGCATCTGGATTTGGCAATGATCTCAGTACTGACATTCTTTTACAATGCCAATCATGCAACTACTACATTTACAAAAGCCAATTTTAATATTTAAGAAAGAAAAGAAAAAGGTAGCAAGAAGGTTACGTTTAAGATTAATTCTTTGAATAAGTTGAGATAAAAGGATGTTACAGTCATGAAAAAAATGATAGAAATTCTCAAACACAACTATAATCCAAATTTGAGATAACCAAATAACTTCTCTCATAAAAAACAATCCTATGGTGGTTTCAATTTGATAAAAAAAAATTCATGTGAATATATAATAATCTTTAAACTTCTTCAAATCCAACTTAAAAGGAACTTCATAATAACAGTTTCTGCACAAAACTAGTCCTTACCACAAGCAATAGATGATCTCAGCAAGTTCTGACAATTCCTAAGCTATTTTACTGCTCACAAAAGAAAATGCCAATAGCTGCTCTTGAAATTTAGTCATTGTCACTTAAAGAAGGAAGCAAACAACTTACATGACATTGCATAATAAAAAGACAGTGCTTATATAAACAGTGAACTTAAAAAGGCATAAGCCTCCATCAAAAGAGGCTAAACCTAGTTTCCCAATAGAAAGGGTAGAGTGGGATTTGTAAAAACTTTGTTACACAAAACAAAAACAAAAACAAAAAACTAGCATTTTATTGCCCAACAAGGTTACTATTTGATACCAACACATTCTAATAACCAAAGAAATGGCAATCAACAAACAAAAAAGAGGAAGTACGGACAATTATGAACTGTCTGAGAAGGAATCACCGATCTCCTCAGTCCAAAACTTTTAGTCATAGTAGAAGCAGCAGCAACAAATTTGTTTAGCAGGTGTATCAAAGGGGAAACGTGGAGGAAGAGTGAAGTTTAACATTTGCATCTAGAACTGAAGAGGATCCTTAGAGAAAAAAAAACAATCATTTATATGCAAAAAGTAAAAGCTACAAGTCAATAAAGAGGTAAATAATAAGCTTTAGCAATAAACATAAATCTTCAAATAAAATTTTAAGAAATTAGAAGTAACAATGCTTGTAAGCTTAAACACAATGCACAAACAAAAAGCAAGTTAAACAATCAAATACCTTGCTGATACCCAGAGGATTTCCTCGGAGTTGCAGCACCAATACGCATAGGCCTGCTTGAACAATATACACCATTCATTTCATTCATGGCTTGTGACCTCTCAGTATCATCCCCAAACCTCACAAAACCATAACCTTTTGATCGACCAGTATTAGCATCAATTACAACTTTTGCAGCTTTAACGGAAGGATATTTGCTAGCAAAAGTTTCATGCAATAGGCTATCAGTAACATCTGCAGCTAAATCTCCTACAAAAATAGAAAGATCAGGACCATTTTCTGCGCGTTTCTCTCCTGTGCTAAAAGTTGCCCAGTTCAGACGGAAAGGTTGTTCGGTATTAGGCATCAAAATGCCACTATAATTTTGAAGAACTTTCTCTGCTGTTGCATGTGAAAAAAATTCCACAAATCCATATCCTTCTGATAGACCAGTCTGCTTATTGCGAATGACCTTAATGGATGCAATCTGCTCAAACAAATTCCAAATTGTCAATTGAAGTTTGGTAAGCAACTAAAACCCTTACTCATATTTCTATCTTTCTTTAAGATCCTACTTTTTCTTTTTTAAGTACCTCTGCCATACTTGGTTTGAATTTATGCAGTCACTATCACTATGTGTGAACCCTACATTTAAGGCAAATGCAACAACCTTATTGCATACAACACAGGACAAAATGTCAGAAGATATATTTTCAATTTATCTTGAATTTAATGTTTAATTTAACCTCAACATTCATACAAATCCAGAATTATGTAAAAATAGTGTCTTTTCTAAGTAGTTTTTTTACATTCCAGGCTATATCTTCAGACAGGGAAGTCAAATTCCATAATTGTTAGAGGCTCTAGTCAATTAAGGTTTTCTCTTAATTTTATTCTTTTTAAATGCCTCCAATAGCCAAATGAGGAATTGACGTCACCCAATTTACTGGTTGTACTCATCCAATTCATGGCTTTAGATTAGTAGTTAAGTACACAAGTATGGGTGCTATGTATGCATTAATCATTGTACAAATCCTATCTTTTGATAGACTAATAATACCAACACAGATATAAAGACTCATATTTTTGCTACGGAATGCCCTAAGAATACTTGTTAAGCTTAATATTTAAAGAAATATTTCCGTCCAATACGCCATGATAATCATTTTAACAGTCAATGGAGATGCATTTAATTTGAAAATATTGCCATAAATTGTACTAAACAAGTGCCCTTATAGCATCCCTACATGGCTACATGTATACGAATAGATTAAAGAAGATACAGGCACATTAATCTATAATTCATGCTAACTATATTAATGACAGGCAGTGCCATAACTGCAGTAAACCACGAAAATAACAATGTAACTGCAATCACTCAATAATATAATTTGAAAACAAAAAAATAATAATAAAATATGAATCACAGAAAATCAGCCAATTAAAAAAAGCATCTAAATATTTATTAAATAAATATATTTATGAGATGTTGTTCAACCTCACTCAACAATGTAACTGCAATCACTCAATAATATAATTTGAAAACAAAAAAAATAATAATAAAGTATGAATCACAGAAAATCAGCCAATTAAAAATAAGCATCGAAATATTTATTAATAAATATATTTATGAGATGTTGTTCAACCTCGCCAGTGGAAGCGAAACAGCTATGAAGATAGTTCTCGTCCATCCAATGATGCAAATCACCAACCCAAACGGTTTTGTTCTCACCGCCACCGCCGGATCCCTGCTGCTGTTGACCGTGCTGCGAGTGGCCATGGTGATGCCGGTACTGGTGATGATGGTGGTTATAAGGAATGTAGTGCTGAGGAGGAGGTGGCGTCGCCACGAAATGCTGCGGTTGCATCATTTGATGCTGCATTACCATAGCTGCCGTCGGATACTGCATCGCCACCCACTGCGGCTGCGATTGCGGCGGTTGTTGAGATTGTTGTTGCTGCCGATGGTTCTGCTCCTGCGACGGTTGCGTATCCGAACCACTGTTTTGCTGCATCCTTATTACTATTTTCTTAAAAAAATTATAAATAAATAAGATTTGAATGTTTATTTGAATTGAATCTGAGTTTAATTTATTTTTTTTATTTGAAGGAAAGGAATAAAAAAAATGTTGAATCTGAGTGTTTTCAGGGGAACAGCAAAAAGAAGAGAAAGCGCGGCTAGGGTCTAAGCAGAGGATTTAAGCTAAGGGTGATGGGAAACATGAAACGCGTTCGTAGTTTGACCGTTGGATAAGAGAATTGATAGTATGATCTCAACCGTTGATTTTGAGAAAACGAGGTGGATATGCATGTGATACTGTTTTGTGGTCACTCTCACCTGTATCCGCCGCCGGCCACATTCTTTAGCTTTGCGGAATTCTATAGATTTTTTTTTTTTAATTTTTGAAATTTGAGGATTTAATTTATTATTGTTATGTATAGATAAAAATATTTTTTTCCTTATAAGATTCCTCGGAGGTTAGAGACTTGAATTATATTTGATAATTTAAAATATGATAATAATAATATAATATAAATAAAATATAAAAAAATAATATGATTTAAAATTTAAAAAAATATTAAATAAATTTAAAAAAAATAAAAATTTTATATTTTTATATGATATAAAGTATAATAAAATATTTTCATGTAAAATTAAAAAATATATATTTTATACGATATTGTGACACAAACTATCAAAGTCTACTTAGAATACTATTTTTAGCTTTGTTTTAATGTTTTAAAGGGAATTTATGGTTTTTCCAAAAAAAAAATTTATGTTATCTTAATTTGATAATCATGATGAATATTATAGTAAATGAATGATGTTATGATTAATCGTTTTATGAAGTGGATTGGATTGTGTGTATATAATAATATCTTGTTAATATAATTGTGAATATAAATAAAATAAAAATAAATACATATAATCGCCTTATGTAATTATATTAATTATTAGTTATTCATAGCATATATATATATATATAATGATAAAGTTTCGGTAAAAGAAAAATGTAAAACTTCAGTTTTATCCATTTTATTAGATTTCCTTATAATAGGATTTTACCATAATAGAATGGATCAGCTTGAAACAATTATTGAATATATCAATTTACATTTATGTAAATATATTAGTTTTCAATTTAATATAGAATGTTATTTATTCACCATAAATATATATAAAAAAAATCAATATTCAACTTGATTTTTTTTAACATACATGTTATTTAGAAGGTTAAAATTATTAAAAGAAACTTTAAAATTTTGCCATTTTATTTAGATAAACTCTTATATTTTTATTATACTCAAATAAGATCTTAATTTTTAATTTACACCAAAATAAACCCTTAATCTTTAATTGATATTCAAACAAGTCCTTAACTTTTAATTTATATCTAAATAAATCCTTAACAAAAATTAATCTTTCATTTGAAATAAAAACTTATATGAATATAAATTAAAAGAAATTATCAAATATACTATTAGTGTAATTTTTTAACTTCACAAATGGTGATTAACATAATGATACATGTATTTTATGATATATTTAAAAAAAAATCTATAAAAAAAAAGTAAAACATTTGTCAACATATTAATTTTACTTGCGAAATTAAAAAAAATTTAATACAAAAATTTCTCATAAATTAAAGAATAAAATTTTATTTAAAATGAAAATATAAAATTTATTTTAAAAAAATAAATATTTCGAGACTTATATATATATATATATATATATATATATTTTAGCCTATTTAGAATTTAGACCATGTTTTGTTTTGGAGCATGAATCAAACAGCACAGAGGCTGACGGCCCAATACCTTGAAGTTAAAGACAAAGCAAATTGGCCCAAATTTTCAAAACAATTTGGCCCAATAATACTAGGGATAAAATTAAACAACAATAATAATAAAAAGACATTAAAATGATATTATTAATGAAACTAAATGTTAAAAACTAATAGACTACTAGTAATAAAAGAAATTAAAGGTTATGAAACCTCGACTATTTTTTTGTTGCAACAAAAAAAAAAAAAAATAGAAGGCTTTTATTATTTATTTTGTCCAATAAAATTTTTGGTCCATAGCTCTAAATTGGCATTTTTTTTTCAAAAATTTATTTTAATATGTGTGTGCACTTCCTTTTGAAAAAAAAAAAAATGAGAAAGGAGCACATATGCGTTCAAATGATATTTTTAGAGTGCTGGATTTTAGGGTTTGAATAGGTATTTTCAGAATTTAAAGAAAAATATATAACCGCTAAATTATATAGATTAAGTATTTTCTTAAGCATATAAATTACTTCAAAAAATTATATAAATTAAGATGATTTCGAATAAAATGTTAAATATTTCAGCCGTAAAATAAAATAATCTTTTACTTAACTAATATATAAAAAAGGTGGCAATATCTTTAATAAAACGATACGCATGAAATGTCTAAATTTGCTAACAATCGTGTATCTGTTAATAGAATATTAATTTTTTAATTTCAATAATCAATTTTCTTTATCTAAAAATTTCAAATATAAAATATCTAAATTTGCTACTTTATTTTTTGATATAGCTAACATGGTTACGTGTATCAAAATTTCAAATAAACTATATTAAGTTGGTGGATGGCAATTTGGAATTATGATATTCGCCAACGATTAAGTGATTTGTTTGTAGAATATTAAACTTTTAATTAATTCTAATAATCATAATTTTCATTGAGATATGATTGAATTTATTTATTAATTTCTTAGAGAAAGAATTAACTATTTCCATTCCCCTCAAACGGCAAACATTTCTAATTTTCTATAACAATTTAAATTAAAAAAATAAACATTGGATTTGCTCATTAAATGACAGTATTATATATATATAATAATCTCATATAAGACCTTGAAAAATTCTATTTAATATTTTTATTTTATTTATTCATCACTTGCTTCTTTATCCTTAGGAAAATAATATAACAAATATTTTTTTGAATTCCCATCTAAATTCTTTCATCATTTGGATTGAATTTAGAGAAAAACATTTTACCTATAAATCTTATTGAAATTCAACAATTTGTGATTTTTTTTAAGATTTTATTTTTGGATAATCATCATATATTTTCACATCAAAATTTTTTTGAAGTTATATTTTTTTAATTAAAAAAATGTAATTACTTTTATTAAAATTTTATTTAAATTATTTTACTATTTTGGTTAAATTTAAAGAAAATTTCTTACTTAAAAATTTATTAAAAAAAATCAACTATTCTTGATTTCTTTTTATTGGGGTTAACTTTCAATTGTTTTTAAAGAAAATTTTATTTAAATTATATGATAAAAAAACAAAATTATTGAATTTATAAATTATTTATTTTATTAATTTTATTGTTAATGAACTTATGAATAAAAATTATTGATATATGATGTTTTTAATTAAATCAACTACATCTCTAATTAAAATTTAAATGGCCCTACAGCATATCACTAACAAGAAAGAATAAAAATACGATAGCCAAAACAAAAAGGTCTTATAAAATTAATGGTCTTTTGACTACGTAAATTATGTACAAGAAAACAATGGGCCACCACAATATCGTTAATATAATTGACCTGGATAGCAAACAATTGTCATCAACACAATGGCCTTTAGGAACAGTAATAAAGAATAATAGCAAAGAATGGCAGTTAGGAATAGAGAAGGCAAAAAAATTTGTACCCGACGGGTTTCGGTTTGACTCGATTTTTTAGGATCATATTTTGTTTTTTTGAAAATCGAGGGTCGGGTCGGGGTCGGGTCGGGTAGCATGAAGACAAAGTCGGGGTCGGATTTTAGGTAAACCCGATCCGATATATATATATAAATAATTTTTTTAATTAATTTTTTAATTATATATATATTTATATAATGATATTTTTAAATATTTATATTTAAAAAATAATATTTTATTAATTTCGGGTCGAGTCGGGTACGATTTATATAGTGCCAGGTCGGATTCGGGTTCGGGAAAAGAATGGGCCGTTTAGGATAGCTTACTTGTGACGACAATCTCAAAGCTTTTCTTTTTTTTTTTTTTAATTATTATTAAAAGCTTTTTTTTTAATTTTAAAGCTTTGTCAGCCGCTTCCCCCTCTCCAATTTCCTCCGTGGGTTTCGACTTTGATTTTTTATCTTTTTACTGATGATTAACAGGTTGATTTTTAATTTAAATAATGCTTTAACTCATATTAAACTCTTGATAGAATCTTTTGATAGAATATATCAGGTAGTTAAATTATGATTTTATTTTATTTTTTAAAAAACCTTTTATCCAACTAAATAAATTTTCTTCAACTAAGTGTATGTAATTTTTTCTTAAATAAATAAATAAATAAAATAAAATAAAATTTAAACCTCAAACAAAATCATTTGTTTATAGTTACTTTTTTTTATGTATTTTATATGAAACAAAAATTATGCAAAGATATATACATTCATTGTGTCCGAGTGTGGCATAACATCAATTATAAAATTTTAAAACTTCAAAAATTCACAATTTGAAATATTCAAGAACTTCACAATCTAACAATTAGTAATGCAAGTTAAAACTTAAATATTCACAATTTGAGTTCAAATAATCCCCATTTCAAAATTCAAAGGTTCACAAGGCTTTTAGATTCGCAATAATTTTCAAATTCACAATAATTTTAATTTTCAAGGATTTCAGGTTCAAAAGAATTTGATTCTCAAAATTTTCAGGTTCATAAAACATAAAAATTCGTAAGGACTCATATTCGCAAGATTTTAATATTGACAAGATTTTTTAGATTCGTAAGATACAAAGCATTCACAAGATTTTAAGATTCACAAGGATTTAAGGTTCACATGGCTTTCTCCAACATTTAAAGATTCATAAGAATTTTCAGTTTCATAAGAATTCAGATTTGCAAGATTCTCAGTTTCGTAAGAATTTTCAATTTCGCATTTAAGAATTTCACATCCAAAGTTTAATTTAGAGATTCGCATCAGAATTACTAAGCTCACATACAATATTTAAA